GGGCCGGCGTTGGGCCCCCGGCGGCGTCCGCGAGGGCAGGGCCGACCTGCGCGGGGTCCGAAGCTCTCCCCGCCCGATGGGGCTGAAGACCCCCCGGCCCCCCTTTTTCCCCTCCTCCGCGCCCACAGGCTCGAGGCTGGGACTGAAGACAGGGCTCGCCCGTTCGGCCGCACGCCACTGCGCCTCAATCAGGTCCAGCTCCTCGATGTCCTCCGCGGTCCCGATGTCGAGACGCGTGCCGGATCGGTTCAACATCGCTCACGTATTGAGTTAATAAATAATTTAGACTAGTATTAAAGGGGAAAATAGCCAACCTGTTGTTTTGGGAAGGGATACACTTTTTTTTTTATTTCGATGTAGCAAAATCTTTTCTTTAAAAGGTGTGGTTATGAATCCCCTTAAAATGAACTTTACTTAACGTGTGGGGCGATAATCCAAACCTTAAAAAAAAAAGTAGAAGCCAGTCAGGAACTCAACAAGATGATAAAAAACGGAAGTTGCCAGCTCACAGCTTGCTTTTGGTTTTATTTACACACAACATGGGTCATGCGACACGTATTCCATTCCAATACACAAACCTACCAGAATCACAGGATGCATGGATAAACACAGACTTCACCACACAACACGATTCGCTAAAATCATGGGTCATGTGAGTTGGAAAATTCCCTCAGGACCACCACTTCGTATCACTCTAGCGCGCCCTCCTTTTTTTAAAAAAATCACACCCTCAGAACAGATTGTTCCCATCAATTGCGGAGGTGTTGTTCTTGCCCAGAAACGTTCCACTACTTCCTTTTACGCCTTTCGCGTGGCCACCACCCGAGTCTTGTTGGCCTAAGCTTTCAATACCCAACACGGACGTGTGGAGAACGCGAACAGGTCGCGTGGCGGCGATCTCGCGTTGGATTGGCTGCTGGGCTAACAACTGGCTGCGCAGGGAGTCACCCCTAAAGGCTAAGGTCTCCTCAACGAGCCGCATGTCAGGGCGGTAAAAGAATTGGAAGTTCTTTCCATCCGTGAGAAGCGTTGTCTTCCGCTTTTGTTCAGGGAGCCACGCCACCCGAATGTTGGGATTGGTCATGGAAGGCCGGGACTTGCGGAGGTACGGGAGGGGAACCTCTTCACGACCTTGATGGACGCCGCTGAGCTGCTCAATCCACTCAGCCGCACGCTGGAGGTAGGCGTGGCGGTCTTTTGCCATCAGGTCTTTTCGATTTTGCTTAAAGCGTGCCAGGCGCAGGATAGCCATCGCATCCACGTCGGGAAAGTACGTTTGCAGCCACGCTATCGCGTCCTCCGCACGCGAAACCGAGGGGCGTGGGAGTGCCGTACGGGACATCCACTCGGTCGTCGCCTCCGCCTCCAATTTCTCGTTTTGCGTCGCTCGCAGTTCGTTCTGATAGCGTTGGTATAGCGTGGCCGCCACCTGCGGGGCGACGGCCTCCGCATTCCGCAGGAGCGCCAGTTGTTTAACAATTTCCGGCCCCCTTGACACGCTCTTTCCCTCCGCCAACGCCTCCTTCATGAGCTGCCCGAGGCGAATCTTCACATCGCCGTCGAGCAATCGGTCCTTCTCCTCGGACTCGTCGGCAAGGTAGTCATACACGGCCCGGGCCTCCGCCTGGGTGTGGGTATCCAACAAAAACTCCATCGCCATCAGCGCGATGCGAAACCGCCAGATCGGATCGATTGGGGCGCGGGCCAAGACGTTCTCGTAATACCGCCCCCGCATCACGTTGTACACCCACATCACCCGCGTCCGATGCCGCGCGCGAATGGCGCAGCGCATGACGTTGTAGAGGACCTCCCCATCCCGCGCGATGTAGAAAAGCCGCGAATTCCCATCCTCGAAGATCGCGATGGCGTCGGCGAGTTTGGCCCCACTCACGCACGCGGCGGTCATCGCGCGGTAGACCTCCACGGGCGGGACCCCGGTGATTCGCCGGTATTCCTCCCCCGCGGCCTTCAAGTGGCCCTGGCGGGCAAGCCGGAGGATCTTGGCGATCAACGGGGTCTCGTGGGTTGCGATCGAGACCTCCCCGCCGTCCCCGAACCGCGTTGAGCGGCGGAAGTAATGGTCCTCCTGGAAAAAAGGCCCGCGGCGGAGCCAGCGATAAATCCGGCCCCGGCAATCCAGCGTGGCGGCGTTGAGGCCGACGCGGTTGGGGTCCTCGACGGTGATGTTGTCGTGGTCCACGCTCGCAGGCCCCCGCAGCCGCCCCACGTAAGGGTCATAGGAGTGGAGCAGGTCGTGCGTGATGCGATGGCCATGGCGCGCGCTCATCAGCGACACCGGCGTCACGAGGGCTTTGGAGGTCAGGGAGATATCCGGCATGAACTTCGCCAGCTCGTGTTTGGGGATTAACGAGAGGGCGCGGTCCTCCAAGGTGTGGGTGGGATCGGTGGCGTAGCCGCTGTTGAAATTGCCGGGGCCGCTGCGGTAGCGGCCTTGGCCCCACAGCTTCGCCAGGTCCGCCGGGTCGAGATGCTCGCGGGCGAAGCGGCTCGGCTGCCAGGGGACCCGAGGACGCGGCAGGTATTTGAGAACGGCCGTCGCCGCGGGATGGCCGGTCGGGCGGCCTTTCGAGAAAACCCCTGTGATGGACATGATTCCCCTGCTTTATTGCGATCCTTGTCTTGGGGTTTACTGCGATTCCCGGTCGTGAGGTCGGCTGACTTCACCACGGCAGGGAGGGGGGGGGTGCACCGGTGATCTACACACCTGCCACCGAGCCAAGGGAAGACTGCCGCGCTACGCACGTGGTGGTGGTTTGGGATTACGGGATTGTGGCTTGACGATATGCACCCCTCTTTATATATATATATATATATATATATATATAAT